TAACCTCCCTGGGGGTTTCTCTGCCCCTCCCTTAGATAAGGCTCCCTGCCCGGCTGATCCCTGCCGGTGCCTCGTGTTTGCTGTTGAACGGCGCGATGGCCGCGTTTGCAGCAAAACGCTGACGGTCGGAGCTGGAGGGCTGGGAAATGCTGAAGGAAAACGCACCCGGGGACAGGGCGTGACGGCGGCCTTCGCTTCACCTGCAGTCTGGCTTGCCTTGAAAGCCTCCGTCGCGCACTGGCCTTAGCACACCCCAAAAGGCACACGTGCCTTCTCCCGCTCACCCAGGTCCAGTACGGCTAACGGAAGTGCCATCACGGGTTTTCAATCTGAAGGGGTCTCTTTAGCGCACAGCTATTAGCTCGCATCATCGTTACTTCAGTTCCTGCACATACTGCTTTTGTTTCAGTCAACAGTCCTGGCCGCTGGGTCTGTGCCTGGTGGGTAAAGAGTGTGGTTGAGTCGAGACAGGTAATGACCAAGTAACAGCAACAAGATCATTTTCTCGAGCCGTGTGTAGAACACAGCCAACCCTCGACTGTCTTCATGGCTCATGATCTTTTCTGCCTAGATGCAACAGCAATACCAAAATATTCTATGCTGATCCAACAGCCATTTTTTGTTTGCTTTAAAGAGAAAATTTCAAATAAATTTTTGAATACATTATGCACAGTATTGTTTTACAGACATCATTTTCTCCTGACTTCACCACTAAGTGATGTTCAAAAAGTTGCTCTGTGCTCTGCCTCATACTTTAGTTTTCTGTGCCTGTTCGATAAAACAGCGAAACCAGAACTAGGCTTAGACCTAGGAGAGCCACAGGCTATAGTTTCTAGACATATGATGAAACACATCTCATTTTTTACAGCTCAATGACAAATGTATACTACATAGCTAACTTACACCACTGCTTTACGGGTGCTATTGATCATCTTGAGTAACTGCAAGGAAACAGTTATTACTGGCCGATCAGATTTAGTGTTAGTTGAATTTCTGAGAGATCAGATTTCAAACTACTGCTATGTTTTGCATCTGGGGAATCGGCAATCTTGTCTTCTGTTGAGAATTTGCCTGGGCAGGAAGCCGTCTTATTACAGCCTCTCTTTAAAAACCAAGCACCTTCTGGTTTGGCTTGAAATCACTCATACATGTTCCTGAAGATACAAAGAAATTGTAAGACTTGTGGCGCTCCTCTGTTTGCAATGTGATGGCACTGTACCAAGAGCAGCGCACCAGATGGTAGACGCAATAAGAAGTCCACCCCCCATCGGCCTACCAAAAAACCAAAATACACTTACAATGACTTCAGAATTAATGTTCTCCATTTATTGATCATCTAGGTTCAATAAGCGTTTTCTAGGCATCACAGCAGGAAAGAATTTTAGCATGTCAGCTCAACAGCCCTTCTGATTTTTACAGAGATCTTCTCTGATGCATAAGGGGCAGCATGGAAAAATATAAAAAAGTAATTAGGATGGCCATACTACTTTGATATTTATCAAAATTCCATGCTTTGCTTTTCCTTTTCCCTCAGTGATGCAGTGTTATTGGGAAAGCAGGCCATCATGTGTTGGGGGGAAAAAACAGCACAAGAACTCAGCCATAATTACAAGCCTCCAGACAACTAGAAAAATTGTAATTGATCATCCAGTATGCTGACAGCCTACACAAACCAAACTAGATACAAGATCTTGGTACAAGTGAAACTGAGTAAGAATGCTGGTTTACTTGATTGTTCAACATATATTCTAGCGCTGCTTGTACGTACTGCATCTCTTCAATGGTGTTCCTATCTTGAGGCTAAGCAGAAATTTCTGGTCGTATCATTAGCCCTCATAACCAGATCCCTTTCATGTGTGGGGCAAACACAAACAAAAAGCCAACTGTGATCACAGAAAAGGGAAATAGGCCATCGGCCATGCCTTCCAGAGGCTTTCTACAACCCCAGCATTTGGCAGGAGACCCTCAGCTGCCTCTTTCATTAAGTCACTGGGCATCAGCCATACCTGCAGCTTGTACGTCTTAACAGTATCCCACCGTAACGCCCCCTCCTTTGGAGTATCTGGGTCATGGGGAATCACAAACCATCTGGGTAAGCCAAAGAGAAGTGGGTTTATATGCGAGTAATTTACTTAAAGACAGGAACTAACACTGCTGTGGAATTAACAGTTCTTCCATGCCTCTGATGCAAGACTAACATTTCCAGGCCTGTCCCTTAAAGACCAAAACAAGCAGCTCTTCTGGAGAACAAATGAGAAAAATAAAGCTTTACACTATTCTGTGAAGTTTACAGATGAGTCAGTTGTGACCCGTATGTGTTACTTAAGAAGACAAAACAGAGAACGTTGAACTTGCTGAAAGCAGCAAGTACCGATGATCTTGAATTGCTGCCAGCTCTTCAGATGCACTGTGGAAAGGGAAAAGGAAAGGCAGCCCATGGGGGAAGAAGTCCACTGCTAGGTTTAGTAAGAGTAGTTTCTTCCCAATGTTTTGTTTATGGAAAGAACGGCACCATGCCACTGAGATTCTGCACAGTTCCAACTCTTAGACAAGTGAAAAAGGGTAGCCAGCTGGTGGGCAAAAAACCTCTCAAGCAATTTCAGACAAGCACTCAAACAGGAACTAAAATCAGCTATTGCATCTGGGCACTAACAGCTCTGAAGTACTGCCTGCCTACACGAGGAGGCTATCCAATTAAAAGCAAATTTAACTAATGATGTCTCAAAATAATTGGTTACCAAATATGTAAATATGGACATAAAACACAGCTATGTTTATCCAAATGACCTGTAGGAGGAAGTAATACCTTTACTTGTAAGTCATCTTATACTTACTTAATGGCTTTTTTTGACCCATATGGCTGTCTTGCCACTAATAACTGTCATCTCCTTCCTCCCCAGAAACCTGTAATAGGCCTTTTAGTATATGCATGTGGCACAGCAACGTGAACCCAAGTCCAGCCAGCCAGCAAATCAGCACTGAAGGCTTCTTACAAGATGACTCTTTAACACTGCATTGGAACGCTTGATTTATTAGTGGGCTACTGTGCTGTTAAAAGCTGTGGTAAACCTGTGACAGAGCAGAGCACAGTCCAATAGTTGCAAGTTCCTCTATAAAGTTTCTTTGGTTGAAAGGTATTTCAGGTAGGCTTGGAAAACTCTTGTTACCAGATACTCCCAAGATTATTATTTGCTCACAGGAGGGCCAAAGATGGTTACAATAGGAAGAAAGGTAAGTGTTTTGTTTGCTTTTTAATTATTTTGAGATTAAATACAGTATGTCAAATTCAACAAATGTTTGCTGATGTTATGTCGTTGAAGATGTTCAGGTAAGTTGTGCTCCAACTGCAGTTACTCTTCCTATTTAGATACTCAAGACAGCCAGTTTGACACATTATTATTGGAAAAAATTATATTTTGGAAGAACTCACTACAGAAGGTGACAGAATTCCAAAAATCAAATTACATGAAAATATACATCGCAATTTTCTTTGTACATTAGGTGAGGAAAACTCTGAAGTAGAAGGCAAAGAATATGAAGGGCCACAGAAGAAAGAAGGGAAAAGGAGGGAAATATTTTTGATACCAAACCCAGAAGTTAGTCATTTGAAAGCCTACAGATGTGCATGCTTGAATTCAACCTTGAGAAAAAACAAGCCTCCCCCACACATACCCAGCCCCACAAACAGGCAATGAAAAAGGCAAAAAAAAAAAGTTCACCCATAAAAAGCAGCTCATTCCTATCTTGGACTAACTTAGTCAACTGAACTTCCAAATGAAAGCACTCAAGTCCCTTGGAAGTTAAAAATCCAGCAGGCTGCTCCAGGGCACTCCATGGCCAGTTTTATTGCTATACCCAATTCAAGAAGTATGTGCAATTCCATTCTGAGAGTAATGCTAAAAAAAAAAAAAAAAAAAAAAAAAAAAAAGGGGAAAAAAAAAAAAAAAAAAAAACAAACAAAAAAGCACCTTTGAGACTACAAAGGTCATCACAAAAGAAGACACAAGTAATCGATAGCAAATCCTTTCAGGGTTTAATTGGGAAAATTTTAAGTTCTGATGGGGGAAATAAAAGGGAGCACATTTCCTAACACCAAAAAGAGAGATACTAAACTTTAATAAGCAAGAGATTTTAATTAAGCCTCAGTGGGTCAAAGGAAAATTAAAGTGGGGGGAGGGAAACAAACCAACTTTATCCTAATTGGTTTTAGTTTGACATGCTTCACAAGTTGTTGTTTTGTTGTTTTTTTGTTGGTTTTTTTTTTTTTTAAACTGATAGGAAACAATGAATAGGGAGAGAAAAACCTGCTAAAATCTTTAGAATTTACACGATTCTATTCCTAACTACAGACAGCATTATTTGGTACAATGTGTATTTGTGGATGTACATGAACAGTAAATATATTATCCGGATCATGTTGTGCTATGTACACATCTTTACAATTCTTCCTGAAGGTTAAAGCAGTTCATTAGATTTCAAAATGCGTAATCATCTTGTGTTGGCACTTGTTAGGCTCTTGTCAGCATTGATAACTGGCATGTTTTATTGCAGCCCAGTTCCAGCCAGTGTTTGCCAACTTGTAACAACAGAAGTCCAGCAATAGGTGGGTAGAGTGCAGGAAAAAAAACAGTGCCATGTTTCTCAATTGGAGACCTAGAAAGGAATCACAGACATTAAAATAAAACCCCTCATCATCCTCTATTATTTTAAGATGTTAATTAGTGTTTCAAGCTCAAGGAAGACAATCATTACTTGTTCAAGAACTTTACATACCTCTAAACAGAAGATGCATAAATCCAAAATCATCACCTGAGAAAAACTTGAGTTAGTTCAGCATACTGTGTATCCACAAGCTCAACTATCAGACTTTCAGGCTCCTGTTATTCACACTGCTTGTGAAGTGCACAGTGTATAAACGTTGGATTTTTCACACATAGGGCTAAAGACTTGTAGATTTATCATTGAAACTTCCGTGCATCACTTACTGTGAATGGTGGATGCTGCTTCAACAGCGAAGTGCAGTACAAAATGGCACAGCAGTGCTTCATTAAGCAATAACACCACAGCTACCAAGTCAGATTGTGCTTGTTTGAAACCAGCTATATGGCCCCTTCTCATCCAATTCATTGCCCATCACTTACTTAGGAGGAGTCACCGGGACTTAGAAAAGCTTTTGCCTTCCAAAAAAGCAACACAGCCAATTACTTAAGTATTTGTCATGAGCATTGTTTCACTATGGCCAAGTTTAACATGGCAACAGAGCTGAGGTTAGTTAAGGATACTCTGGAGTGTTACTCAGTTACTCCCTTTCTCTAAAACAGAAAAAACTGTCAGCTGCATTAACAATTCTTACACTCTAGTTATAGGCAGTCGTACAAAACATTCAGTTCCTTTGCTTAGTCTTTTGATCAATATTAAGCATTTTCCATGCTTTCTCTATACTGGAAAAATTTCCATTCAATCAAGCATTTCTGCAGAGAAGATATACTGCAGTACTAGTTTGTTACAGATGGAGCCTTCCTCCACCCCCAAACCCCACTATTCTTACAAAAGTATAAGAAAGGAAGTATCTCCTGTACAACCTTGGTGAAGAAAAACTAACTAGCAGGAGTATTTAGTACGCTGTTCTAGTTGTTCAGATAGTACAACCCCTTTAAACTACAGACAGTGCCATATTTCTCCCCCTCCTCAAGTTTTGTACACTGAAGCTAACTAGTACGTATGGTTTGGGGCCTCTCCAGCCAAATGGGTCAGAATAGTTTATTTGCCAAACCAACCATTAAGAAAAGGCAGCTTCAACATGAAGCTCTGTTTTGCTTTGAAAAATCAAAAGTAGGAAATTATTAGCTAGTTGAAGAACTTTTTCCTTGGCATACCAAGATTAAAGTGACCAAAGGCCAGGTATAAGGCCCATGTTTTAATACAGAGCTTTCTACAAGAGCTTGTTGTTAAAAAAAAAGTTCCATTAAAACTAGGAATGGATTTTTCAAATTAGAGTAAGTATCTTGAGTCAGAAGTTCGTTTTTAACAGGGTGGCATGAAGTGCAAATATCTCATCAGCTACTATCAGGTTAGAACTTGTCCAGGCTCTCAGATATGCTACAGTTCAGTTTCCAAGCTGAAGCTACTCCTAAGCCTTCGTCAGCAAAATGTTCTGGGCTGCTGAACAGAATACCACCTTTCTTTATGTTATTGAAGGGTAATATCTCAACTTGATCCTTTCTGATATACTAGTAGACTTTCTATTAAAATTCTCACAAATAGCTGAAGCAATCCTTTCCAAATGGTTCCTAACAACGTCACTGAAGTCTTCTTTAAAACCTACATGCAACATGCCACCAACATCTGTAAGATAAAACTCCATATATATGTAAATGAACTTCAGATAGCAAGACCAGATGCTTTTAAGATTCAAACAAGTGTTCTTCACAGTAACGAACATGAAAGAATGATTTCTCCCTTCTATTACAGCTCTAGTAACCCCTAAGCACTATTAATAAAGCAGGATGAATATAGATAAAGAGAATTTCAACTTCTGAACAGCATAAATGCAAGAGTACTAGAGAAGTTCCCCAATCTTGGCAGAAGGGGCTGTTACTGCACTTGAAATTCTTTCAGTCTTTAAAGTATCACATACAGCCAAAGAACTCCACTGAGACCATGCAGCTGAGAAGAAAGGTTTGGGGTTTTTTTTTTGTTTTGAGGGGGGAGGAGGGAAATCAGTTCAGCAACACTTAGGCAGGAAATCCTCAACTCAGGTAAGTTGACTTGTCTTTAGAAGGATACTTACCCTGAAAAAAGTGAAGCTACTAGCTGCTGAATAAGTGTCACTCAAAAGCAGTTTCTTGGCTTTTTCTTACACAGCGGGCAACTTTTCTTTTAAATTCTCCATTTCTGTCTTCTCTCCATTCTTTCTGTAATTGAATAGACAGCTTTCAGATGTCAGTCCTATAACAATGTACAAGTTCTAGGAAGACTCTTGGCGTTTATGTTTTCAAACATTAGCCATCTAGTCAACACCTAAATTTGCCTACAATCATCGCGCTAGTCGCTGAAAACCTGTGACATTCAGGACTTTTGAAAGCTTGCTCTGGGTTTCTATGCAAGCTGCTCACAAGACAGTGAGGACGCAGCCTTTCCCCAAGACTAACCTGGTGGCTACCAATATTTCACTATGTTTAGGTTGAAATCTCTTTCCTTCAGTCTACAAAGTAGCAGTAAAATCAAACTGTAGGCCACAAGCTATTGTTATGGATTAGAGAAAGTGTCTTTAACTGCAATGATGGAAAAAGGTACGCAGCTACTGCGGAGCCAGTAGGTATTCTGAGATTTATTTGTTGGTTTTTTTTAAGACAGTTTCAACTCCCTCTCTATCTAGTCAGGACACTCCACGATAGAAATACGGAAGTCACAGTATTCAGAAGAGGCACAGCAGCGTCCTTAGAAAGAAAACATCTTCTAGTTAGATACGGCTGCAAGATATTGGCTCCATGAGAAAGACCTTAACAGAATGCTCAGCACACCTATGGGGATGGTCTCTGTGACAGGTATCTGATTTCAGAACTGCATAGATGAAGAACAAAGATAAAGATGAACAGGAAGATAAGCAAGAGGTTAAGTCTGAACCTAGAGATGTGCACACCATGGTATCACAAAAACCCACAGGAAAAAGTGCAGCCAGTTTTAAGTATTTTGTGCCAGCCTCATGGTGAGCTCAGATGAAAGCATAGGAGCATCATATGATGTGACTAAGGTCGACATGTTGAGTACTGCCTTACAGTCAGGCAAGAAGTGGTGGGAAAATATGAAGAACCCCTTATTTCATGAAATAAGTTCTACAGTTCTTAGTTTTTGATATAAGCAATATATTCTTACTGCAGGGGTGAGGGAAGGGGTTTCAAAACAAAACAAAACAAAAACCACCACACCGTTTAACCTGAAGCAACCTAGCACGCAACACCTTTTTACCCCTTCTTGGAGTGAAAGTTGTAGCACATTTGAGTGAAAGAAAATTAGGACAACTGGTATATCCTAACATTCACCACCGCCAAGGTCACCTAGCCAGTCAGCATGTTGGAAAGCCCAGCATGTCTTATCTTTCCAGTGAAATCACAAATAAAGCTACTAATTAATTTGTTCTTTTTCAGCAATTAATACAGCAAGCATTTGGTTCCTTGGATTGGGACACAAAACAGCTTACACAAGACAGCTTAAGGCCAAGAAAAGCATTGAATTTGTGCCCTCCTAGCTTCAGATTCTTAGTTTTTGTTTCTACATTTCATATTTGTAGTTCTACGAAGGAAGTGTTAAGAACTGAATAGCAAAGTTCCCAATTTGACAGAAATCTCTCCAAAACTCTCATTTTAGGTCATGAGCTGTTCTATTTGCTTCTCAGTACCTATTCAGGCTCCTGTCCCTCATTTTTCTCCTGCTCCAAGAGACAATACTCTAACATGCATAGTTCAGTTTTCCAGGAAGCAGCTATATCCCCTGCTCTGACCTGTCTGTAATACCTTATGCTCTACACTCACTTAAAACCAGAAATTAATGGAAGCAGACAAAGTATCTTTTAGTAACTGCCAAACACTGTTGCTGCAGTAAACTTGTACTTAGTAAACCAAGTAGAAAGACATCTTGATAGCAGCTCAGAATAAAGCACATGAGCTGCTGATTCCTCATTACCCTGATGAGTATGTTCTGGTTATTATGAAGAGGATGCAATTTACAATCCAGCAGGAGAGGCTAAGCTGCTCAAGCAGCACATTAAGTTTAAAAGTTACTTGAAACATCTAATACTACAGTCAGAAAAACAGTTCCTAGCATCCAAAGCAATGTCTCAGTACTGCCCTTACAGTCAGATTTGGATTTAAGTTTTTTGTTCCTTCAAGCTGGGCTAGAAAATACTGTGTTTTCTTAAGACGTTTTCAACCTTTACTCTAAGGTTCAGGTAAACAACTTCATAGTCTATCTAACATCTCTCTCCGAGGGGAAACAAACAAACAAAAAACCACCAAAAAACCAACCCACACAAACCCCAAAAAAACCCAAACAAAAAAAAAAAAAAAATCACTCCTGTAGTAGCTGGCAGAAAGCGGGACACAACACAGAAAGATTAAAAAGCCTGTGACACCAGAAAGGTGACAAACATAGCTAAAAGTACAAGCTTTCTCCAGTGTTCGGTCAGCTACATTCAACATATATGAGTTTGTAAACTGAGGAATTCTAATTGTACTTTTAGCATTTCATTAACAACTCGCTCCTTCCAGTACTCTCAGGTTTGCCAGCATAAAATGTCCCTGTGTCCTGGATATTTGTTTCCACCAATAACTTGACACAGGAAGGGGAGGTCCAACGCTTATAAGAAGGTTATATGAGGGAATTCTTCACTACAACTTTTTGTCTTTGTTTTTCTTCTCATTAAGTTTGTTCCACATGAGACTATTCCCATGATCATTTTTCAGCAGAGCTCAACCACCTTTGGAAATATTAACAGCATAGTAGATCAAAGGCTTCAGGAAACTAAACTCCCACCCATTTTGGGAAGGCATAGCTAGCTTGACAGAGCAAGTTAGCATTCCTCTAGAAAACTTCGCATCTTCTGATTACCACCTCCCTTTTCCTTGCTCCCCCAGTCAAAAGACCTAAAAACTTCTCTTTTGTGAGAGGATAGCATGTATTAGTCACTGCTGAACTGCAATTCAACAATAATTCAAAGGAAAGTATGTTGGCATATCTCAGATGAATGGGGCTTGAAGTCTGTTCCCCTACTCCCCCCCCCCAGCAATGAGAACTTTTTCCCTCCCCACCACAAATAGTTATTAGTCTAATTGCTATTCTGCTATAAACACAGCTCTTCTAGAGAGCCGATAGCTGTATTTATACACCCACTCAGAACAGGCCAGGCTCCAGAAACACTACACTGCATGAAATGCATCTCATGACAGAATCCATACTGCAGATTCACCCTAATCTTCAACTATAAACCAGGCCATTCTTCCTCATTCCTTAGCCAGTCATTCTAGTCTGGGACAACACTTCCTCCATAGTTGAAGGCCAGATGGAAGCTTTCAAAGTACATTCTCAAAGCAGACCTACACAGTCAAACCTACTGCTTTAACCCATGATCCAGGAAGACTGCTGTAGAAAACTGGATATAAAATGTCACAACATAATTATACTGAGGGACCTCATCACATTTTCTCCTTCCATTCAAATCAATAAATCTCCTAACAGGTTATATCATTCGCAAAACAAAAATTTTAGTACATATACCAATAATATACTAGGAACCAAAAAAGATTCCAGAATACATTAACTTCTGCAGCTAAACTTAATGACAGTTGTAACCACTACGTGTATATAGCCACACAGGATTTTACAGCCCGCTTCCTTGAATTTTTTAAGACTAAAGGAGCTGAAGTTTATCCATCAATTATCTCTGTGCACAAGTTATTTACTATAAATAAATTCGTTACTGTATAGGAGAAATTAAACCACTGCCTATGAATTTTGACAGCATCTTTGCTCTGCAATCTGTAAGAAACTTCCCAGGGCTAACTAGTAATTCTGTTTGACAACATGACTGCTTTTCCCAACAAGAAGGTAGCCTTAGCCTGTGATATAAAAGGTTCTTCCAGAAGTTACTGCACTGTTTGTCAAACTAGAAGCAAAACTCCACTGCAAGTTTAGGTTTCTACACTGAAAATAATTACCAGACCAAAAAAAAAAATCTTACCGCTGCATCAACATTAGCAGGAGAATCACCATTGGGATCTGCCAGCATAGAAATAACACTAATCATTATAGTTTCCACTGTGTGAATGGGAAGCCAGCGTTCCTCAGGTTTTTCATAGCCATATTTGTCTTCTCCAGGCTCATGAAGAATTGAAATGCAGACATCACCATTCTTGTCAACTACAAAATAGAATAAGGCATATTTCAGTAATGAACAACATGCTGGCATTTCTTCAGGATAGTTATGGAACTGTTAATCTTCACTCCAGCTAGTCTGAAAACATGTTAGTGAAGAAACTATAAAAAAAGGAAAGTAATTAACTATTACAGAACTCTATCTGTAATAAATAGGGCTTGCCTGGACTTCTGGCAGAGAAGGCACATGGGGAGGAAGAACTTAATTCTAACATCATGCTGCAACTTTCAAGACTATTTAGAAGGGCTTCCACTGGAGCTTTTTCTGTTAAGTTCAGCATACTAGAGAGTGACTTTTTTTCCATAGCAACAGCATCAGCTGGATCTTACTGCAATATATTGGAACATGATTTAAGCTGCTGGAATTAGAAACTGCATGACAAGGACTCTGATATTTCCAGAGCTGGAACTGACACAGCATCAAAATATTCCCTCTGTCCTTTAAGATGGGAGCATTGTGCTAGTCTGGTCTCCTCCCAGCTTTCAACATCTACAACTTCAGTAACAACTTTAGAAACTGAAGAGCATTCTTCCTTCCCAGTAAAAACTTCTTCCATTTTATTTTACCTTCCCATCTATGTCCAGCAGTCCACAAGTAAATGGAACATTAGGAGGAGTCTTCTTTGGAGGGACTAAAAGATGCTGTTATTTCCTTTCATGATCCACCGGAGCAGGACAACCTTGGGCTTTCTATACTGAACTGCCAAGTTAGTAATACTAAGATGAAATATTTGAAGGTATAACAAAAGACAACTATAGACATCAAGTTTCTCCTCAGACCAGAATTTCACACTTAGGGGAAGAAAAAAACCAGAACAAAACAAAAACCATCAAACCTGAACAGTTACCAGGAATTCAAGAAGCTACTTTTAGTAGCTTCTGAAAATACTTTTGGAGCAGTCTCTCAGAGCAGCACTATTAAAAAAGCCTGCCATGGTTATTACTTCTTTATGAAGTGAAGATGGCAAAGTAAATGTAGAGTTTCATATTTCTAACATGAACAGAAGTGTATCCATTTGTCCTCACTGCATTTTTAGCTCTTAATTGCAAAAAGAAATTGAAATTTTGACATTTCTTACCATTCGGATGCCAGATTTCTGTGATGAATTTCATTTTTGGCGGCCTCAGTGGATAGTCTTTTGGGAAAGTAAGATGAGCCTTGAAAACACCACCTTCACTGGGGAATCAAAAATATCTTAGTAGAGTTTCTTGTAAGCTTAAGCTGAAGATTGGAACTTACTGATGTATCAAAAGCTCTATGTTTACCTGTCACACAGCTTAACATCATGTTGGTAATTAACAATACCAACATTTCCTCTATGCAATGCAAAGAGTTTCTAGATGGAGAAGATCTTTTCAAAAGATATTGCCAGTTCCCCAACACTATCTTTTTTAGAATTAGGATGATGGGGGGATTACACACAACCACTCACCCCACACCCTCCCCCCCTAAAAATAATCCAAAAAAAATGCCAGACTTCACCATCTGGAATTAGAACTCACATTCTTCTTCCCAGTACATTTATTAACAGCAAAAAAAAATTGCCAATGTCTCCCCTTCTCAAGTACACCCCGGCAGATACCTGTTTTATTTTCCTCCTTTAGACACCTCAGTCCTAATTTCTTGATACCAGTCTGCAGCAGTGAGCCTCAGTGAAAAGTTACAGAAAGCTTTATAGTTGAGTCGACAGCATCCCTTTGTAACACGACTTCCAATACTACCTTTTCAACACTAAGCTAAAGTGACTCCAACATAACAGTGATGTGTTCTGCATTACAGCTACCCACTAAACTGGAAAACAGTAATAAACAAGATAGATCCAGTTTTTAAATGGAGTTACAGGCCCATATTTAACTAAGGTAACAGTTTGTTGCTGGTTTTTTTTAAATGGCTAGGTTTCAATACCCAAGAACAGTCCCTTTTGAAAAATGTGAAGGCCTATCTTAGATGGAAAAACCTTATAGATAGAATACTTTGCTAATATAAGTACTGTAACATTTGCCCTGTCACTGTCATTTCTTGTAATTGAAGTTTGTACCAAAATTTGAAATTGCAAAGGCAGAGATTACAAAAACTGGAACATAACCTCCAAAGAAGGTGACACGAGATGTGCGGTATGACAAGCTACTCCTCAGCAGCCATGCAGACAAAAGAATTACTGTAGAAAAGAGAAAACTGTTCAGTGCAATTTTTTGTTCCTGTATTTGTAAAGGAGTAGAAGCCAGTATCCAAAGCCCACATGCTACTGAGAAAATAACAAGTTTTCTCACCACTAACTAAAGATGTGCAATTCTAGAAAGTGTCTCAAAAAAAAAACCAACCCCCAAAAGCACTAAATCTAAGTGACTTGGCTCTTAAAACAAAGTAGCTGAGGGGATCTGAACTCACAGCATTCATTTTCCACAAGTTTTAGAAAAGGCAGGCAGGTTCCAAAGAATCCTTCATCCTGGGAAGGGTCAGAATTCCAGGAACACTGGCTGTTTTAACATCCATACTAGTCAAGGCAAAGGAGAATTAGATTACACTTGCTGATAGCCCCAAACCAGTGACGTCCTTTCTTCCAAAGTGAAAAAGTTCTTCTTTCCCTTTTTAAAGAAGCAAATCCTAAAGCTACTAGGCTGTATGGTATCCTGGTTGCCCCTCATCAACTGCATATGAATACAGCTATTTAACTGGATACACATTAGAAACCAGTTAATGAAGTACAGCTGTCAATTAAGGGAGATCAGGGCCATTTTTAGCAATATTCTTGACAAAGGGGTCTCTGTCAGTAGAGTCATGCACTGAGTCTGAATTCTTTTTAGGTAAACTCAGGATAAGGAAACTGGGACTAGGAATGAGACTAAAGTTCAAAAATTTTGACCCACCTGGTTAAGTTAAACTGTTATGTTCTACTGTCATCATAAAACAGATCAGGGAGGAAGGATTCAGTATAATACTACCCTGAAAAGCCGCAACTAGGGACTGGAACAGAAGAGAGCTTCTTATCTAAAAAGCCTCAAAACAAGCTCAGCACCTTGTTGAAGTGGGGGGAAAAAAGCTATTGCAATTTTTAACGTGTAAGAAGAGGTTCAATTAGAAGCAGTACTTCTTCACTGACAGTATTTATAAGAGGACCATGAGAATATAATGGAGCCACTAGTTGGAGAATTTATCTCATGCAAGACTTGAGAATCACAATGTAGTGAGCTTGAGGAGAAGCAAAGCAATTACATTACTTTGCTTAAGTACTTATTCAGAAGTCTGCAGACAGAGGTATACAACAACTTCATGTTGGAACTAAAACTGACCTCAAGTAAATGTCACTAGGCTTTTTGTATCAGTAATTTACCACTAGAATAACTTAATGGAGGAGAACAGAGCTCATCTTCAAGAGCTACACTTTAAACTGACCTATTCTGGGCACAGAACCTTTTCCCAGGAGCTAGAGTAGATGATCATTTCTCTATGAGAAAGAGAAATCATTCTCTCAATTAGCCAGAACCCCTCCTTTTAAAACAAACAAACAAACAACAACAAAAAAACCAACAAACAACACACAACAAACCCCCAACCACACTGCACATGCCAGTGGCAAACAGACCAACCCACCCCCAACCACCCTGCACATGCCACAGTGCTTCAGATACACAGCAGTGCAAAAACACAGTGAACTTAAACTCCATGAAAAGAAGTTACTCTATGAACTGCAGCTTTGTGTTCAAATGTCAATTAAAGAACCCAGTCCTTAGGATAAAGATACAAGCTTTTTGAAGCCCACTGTGCAACGTTTGCCAATAATTTAAATTTAATCGACACTGAGGTACTTCAGGACACACTGGGAAGTGTCCTGAGTCCATCTCAAACTGACAGGACTTCAGGTTAATTCTGTGGTCTGCTGCAGTTTCCCCAACTACATCCCTCTTGGATATTTTTCCTACAATCACCAGCATGAAGCTGTAATGGTTTAAAATTGTAGAGCCTTACAGCAATTACAGCAAATAGTGGATTATACCTGCCTTACTTAAATGCGTAAGAAAAGAGAAGCTGCCTGTAAGGATAGCGTACTCTTTCTTATTTCTACTCAAGTACAAAGCGACCATTGTTGCATTTTGCCAGGGGAGCAAAGCACTTTAGAACTTCTATATAGCAAATTCGGCTATTTACAGGTATTTTAGTAGCAACAGAACAGCATTACCTAACTTAGTCAGTATGAAGATTTAGGTTAACTTTTACTCAATTAGACCAAACTAGAACTAGTAAATTCGAGTTCACTAAAGTTTCTGTATAAGTATCAGTACTTACTATAGTGTATCTGGAGGACCAATAATAAGGACTTCCCATCGATAAAGATCATTGTCATCTATTAAGCCCGCTGAAAAGCCTTCCACTGGATTTTTGTTGAGCTCTGTGTAGGAAAAAGAATTTAAGAGTGACTTTAGGTGTCTATGATACGCATTTGCTCTTTTTGCTCATGCCTCTATACGTGACCAAAAAACCCCCATGACTTTCAATTATTTGGCACCTCCTGTTGGAGTTATGGCCCAGGTGAGTATCCTCAACTCCCTACCCCACAGAACAGAATGCTGCCAGAGCCAAGACCCATAGTCCGACTCTAAAACTAAGTACATCATGAGCAGAAGGGCCAAAGTAACTCAGAAACTGTGGGACATGGTCTCCTAAACTAGAGACCAATAGGTGTGTGCGCAAGTCAGAAAACAGATTTTCTACTAATAAAAAAAACATACTGCTTTATAAGAACCCTGAGGACACAGATTAAACTAAGGCCTATCTTTAACTCTCAAAAATGTTAACAGAAGAACAAAGTCACACAATTTTTATTTAAAACTAACATCCTACCTCCCTTAGATGATTTTGTTCAGAATCTGAAAGCATTTGAGACCTGTGCCCAGTGCATTCTGGAGATAATGATTTACTATATTCTGAACTACTAGGAGGGAATATAGAAAATAACCTGTTATGCTGTTTAGGTTTTGGGGGTTTTTTAATTATTTTTATTTTGTTTCACAGTTTCATCCACTAGTGATAAGCAATACAGAATTCTAAGTTATAGGCTACTTCCTATAGTTACTGCCAGCTTGTCCAGCTTATCTGGAAATAGCTATGCAGAAGTCAGACCTGGATGTAGACCCTACTGAGGTTCTGTTTTCAGCCTACTCCAGGAAAAAAAGCCTAAGATTCAGAAATAAACACCTCAAATGAGTTTCGCCTAATATTCAGTTGGGGGGCGGGGGGCAGGGGGGAAGGGCGTGGAGCAGAGGGAAAGAACATCTCTTAACTGATAGCTTCAGCTCAAAAAACAATTTAAATGCCATATTGATGCCAAATTTAAATTCTTCATCCAGCATTTCCAACAGTACACACATAGTCGTGGTGGATCTTGGGTATCTAGAATAGGGGAAGGGGAGAAAAAGTTATTCCTTCAACTGGTCAGTAATTTCCAGATCAAATTTGGGATTTTTTTGGTTTGTTTTTCAGTTACTACTGCACTTATTTTAAATCCTGTCAGTCATTATACAGCCCTCATTATTATATTCCACGGTACAGTTGGTCTACATATTCCCTCTCTATAAATCCAATAGCTGTACTTTGTGTTGATTCCTAGGCATTACAGACTTAAGTTCAGAGGTCCTTAAAATGACCTTGGGTACATGCAGAAGGACTTCAAGTGAGACCCTCACACCTTTATGGAGAAAAGGCTACCATTAAGTCCCAACTGATTTGCCCGTAAGTTTGTAGTGAATATTTGCCAGCCAAGTTCTTAACTATTTAAAGCATGGTTAAAAAAATGCAAGAATCAATTCAAGCCCTACACAGGAGAGTCTGAGTCCACACAGGGAAAAGCAAATGCTCAGCTTGTGTGAAGGACCAAGGTCCTGAAGAGGCAGATAGCAAGAAAATCAACTTTGGCCATTGGTAATTCAGAGTCAAATTTATCCACATCTATGACTCAATGCTAAAATCCCAAGAAATGTATTGGAAGGGCTTTTCTTATGAGCTACTCAGCAGGGCTCTAGTCAACAGATGAGGTCAACCATTCACTGTCCAAGTCACAGGGCAAAGACTCAGGTATTGAACCAAATCATGTTTTCTCAAGACAGTACCTGAAACAAAAGGTAATATCACAGGCTCTTTAACCAAGATGCAAGCTTCAAAACCAAAAATTATGGCATGGTCACACCTCCACTAAGTAGACCAGTTTTCACTCTCTGGCATCTATGAAACTTTGTGGAAACAGCTGCACGAGCTTGACTAACAGTTCTATTTAATTTTAGGTGAAAGAGGCAGAGAGACTAGGTAAGTGTCTCACATGAAGCAAGGACTTTACCAGTCCCTTACTACCTCCCTACTACAGACATTCCTCCAGCATCAGATATTAACAGTTCCACCACATTAATAGTTCACTGTAACCTGCATTGTCACATAGGATTTTATTTTTTAAAAAATTGTCTACTGCTTGTGCAAAAACGCCACCTCTGTTCTGAACACTTAAGCCATCCTTTCGGATATTACATTAATATTGTAATACAGAATATCCAGCACAACAACTACCAAGTCAACAGAAGGAATGCAAATATTAGACTTGAGTATCTCACCTTAAGACTTTCAAACTCGAATTTAAGCCTCCAAAACACAAGCTCCCTCCTTTCTGCATTTCCACAGGGAGAAAAGGGTTTATGTTGAGTTCTGTATAAACTGCTGTAACTCAAGGTGTTCACATTTAGCTTCCTTGTTGTTTGTTAGTTATCACTTCTCAGTGATAAGACTGTAAACAAGCCTGTCAGAAGTTAAGACTCTGGAAAATTCAGTGTGCTTCTCTATCTAAATATGCCACACTATTTTTGAGTCCAACGTACACATTATCTTCCCTTTTTCTTGATTTGCACTATTTCAATTTCTTTCTACATCTGTGTCAGCCTCCAAATAACTTTTTTTTATCCTTAAGTCCTTTGAAACATTTTTCATGTACTTGTTACCAAAGAAAGCCAGCTCTTACACTCTGACTCATACCTAAGACCTTCCAGCACTATATTGCAAGAGATCTTGTGAGAAAGAGTAAGATTGTTGGATGCCAACTCTTGTAATGCAGAAAATCTGTAAACTGTGTGAAAGGGACAGCCATTGACAAAAATCTTCTGTTACAGCAGCTATGGAAATTTGCTTAGTGGATGTTGCCCATAAAGCAAATTATGATGTTACTTCTTTTACAGAAGGTGGCATCCATCTCTGCTTGTAAAAGGTTCTCATTTTCCTTCCACAGTAGCAATACTGAAGCATAGTTCAAATAGCTACTGCTTGCACAAATACTGTAACTTGAGGTAAAACTATGGACGTAAGCTCAGGCAACTTCTCCACTAGAGGTACATAGAATTACCATAGGCAAGTTAAAATGAGCTTTTCCATCCAGATTATTTATGCTAAACTGAACATCAACTAATGGCTGGTTGGCAGACAAAAAAGGAAATCTCAGGGAAGTTTTGCACTGGGACATGAAAAACATCATCTTTGGCTGCTTTACCATGGATAGCTAACAGCCACTACTCATTAAAACTTGCAAACACTGAAGCCTAGGGTTTGTTTGGTTTTGGTTTTTTCCCCCTAGATAGAGCCAATGTTGCATACCAGAAAATTTAACTAGTCATACCACCTATCTCTTACCTATCTCTTCTTAAGTTGAGACTCACACAGTAGTGAAATCCTTGCACCAAAATCCCAAATGAACAGTGATGCCAGCACGGCAAGAAAGGAGCGCGCACACACACACACGCGCTATGCTCACAGTCACCGACGGCTGAGGGACTTGTGCCCACCAACCAGTGCCTCTGGTGACGCTGACGCTGCACTCAAGAAACCGAGACACCTGTTCTCTGCATCTGTCATTTCCTACCAACTACAGCAGTTAACTACTTGCAGCCTGAACAGGAGTGTTCCTAGACAAACACTTGGATGATGAACATGCTTCATAAAGCAAACGATTCAATTCCCTCCTCCAGGCAGGGAGAGGGGGAACAAGCTCCTGGTGCAGGTCCTCTACGAAGTCCTGTTGAAGAGCTAGCCCATCAGTCCTAGAAAAGCAGAGAAGTCAGACACCTATGAAGAACTGGATCCTTTCCCATTATTTTTTAAGTACTTGTTTTTTCTTTGAGATTTCTTGTTTAGTTAAATATATGCTGTACTTTTTAAACAGAAATGAGTATATCAACATATTTCCATCATGTCCATGCCTAAATAAGTGCAATTTACTCGCTACTACTATGTATTAGACTCTATGGTTTAGTATTGCTGCCAACATTTTCTGCATTTCTGATAGTTTAACACAACAGAAATTTTTCTTCCCACCGGGAAAAAAAAAAAAAAATAAAATCTTATGTTAAGTCTAGAAGCAGTTTCAGGTAGAGTCCTTCACAGCTCAAGCAGCAGCTGACAGCCAGAGCAGCACAAACCTGGGCAGCTGCCAAGCAGCAACATACTGGGAACAGAATCCTGTGGCTGCTTATAAATTAGACATTCAGTTCCTTTAATCCCAGTCCTGAACCAATACCCAATTTGGGAGGCAAGGAAGACTAAAGACCTATAATCCAACAGAGTTGTTTAAGACCAGAACAGACTTTAATGTCCAATGCCGACCCTCCCACCTGATCTACCAACACAATACTGTGTTCCTTTAGCGGTTTAGCTCTTACTGAAGCAGGACTAAGTTACCATTGCCTTAAACTTGAGCCAACGCAGTACCATAAGCTGTTCTGCCAGTTTCAGTGTTTAGTTTACACCAAGCTACTGATGTTCCCACACTCACTAAAACTGCTTTTATATAAGCCAAGAGACTTTCACCAATCCAAAAACAAAACAGCGTCAACAAAAATGACTAAGCAGAAAGAGTCCCATGGCTACATGGAACAGCTATGTATGGCATCTAAACTTTTCAGCTTGAGGTTTCCCCCAGCCAGCCACTGCATATGAACACTTCAGAGTATTTTAAGCTACATTACAGTGCAAAGCTTTCAAAAATATAAGCTTCTACATTATTTTTAATAGCAGCCTCTCTATTAAGTTACACAGTGGTTGAGTTTTGTGCAGCCACTGGATTGAGTCCAGCACAAAATCACATACCGAACAGCCCAAGTCCCAGCTAAGGCTTCTGGAGAAACCATCTAGCTGACTTAACTCCATACCCCAAGGTATAACTTCCATATAGTTTTATTACTTAACTGAGGTCAGTTATGATTTCCAAGATTTTCTTTCCTCCCTGCATACCCAACTGTAAGTCTCTGATTCTAGATTAGGGCCAAGATAATGATAAAGTAACATGATCTCCCTGCACTGGTGTATTCCCAGAGCTCTCCATATTATCTATTTTCATCATGTTCCATCTTGCTCCACAAGCTT